GAAGTCCGAGCTACAGAAGAGACACACGTGCACAGACCTGGGTGAACTGCGCAGCTACCTTGGCTTGCAGATCACCCGAGACAGAGCACGTCGCACCATTACCTTGACTCAGTCACACATGGTGCAGCAGGTCCTTCAGCGCTTCGGCTTCACGTACTCCTCGCCTCAGGCCACTCCTCTGCCTACTCGCCACTCTCTCTCAGCTCTGCCTTCGGATGAGTCCGTAGAGTCGAGTGGCCCGTATCCAGAGCTTGTTGGCTGCCTCATGTACCTGATGACCTGCACTCGACCTGACCTTGCATACCCTCTTAGCATTCTCGCACGCTATGTTGCTCCTGGGAGACACCGACCAGAGCACATGGCTGCAGCGAAGAGGGTGTTGCGCTACTTGTGCAGTACGTCGGGCATGGGGCTAGTGCTTGGAGGGCGCAGTCCAGTGGTCCTCACTGGGCACGCAGACGCTTCCTGGGCTGACGACCAGGCTACCCAGCGGTCGTCACAGGGTTACACCTTCACTCTTGGTTCCGGCTCTGTCTCGTGGCGGGCTACTCGCTCGTCTTCTGTTCTCGGCTCCAGTTGTGAGGCTGAGATCTACGCCGGGGCCATGGCTGCACAGGAGCTTCGCTGGCTCACCTACCTGCTGACCGACCTTGGAGAGCCGCGTCGTTCTCCTCTTGTTCTGTACGTAGAGAACACGGCCATGCTGGCCTTGTGTCGAGAGCAGCGACTGGAGCACAGAACGAAGCACATTGCTCTCCGCTACTTCCTTGCTCGTGAGCTACAGCAGCGTGGACTGTTGCGGCTTGCGTACGTGGCCTCTGAGGCCAACACTGCTGAATGTTTTCACCAAGGCACTTCCGCCTTGTGATCATCAGCGCTTCTGCACTCAGCTGGGTCTTGTCTCTGTCTTGCCTCACTTGCTCACCTCTTAACCTTGCTTGTACTGTTACATATATATACCTGCTCTTGCTTGTCTAGCCTTATATATATGTACTCCTGCATGTGAACTGGCCTTGTGGCCTTGAACTTGTGCTCGGAATGTGTGGTGAATTTGTGATCCACCCTAAGCTTGCTTTGCTTTCCTTTGCTTGACTGGTCTTGTGACCCCTTGTTCTCCCCCACTTTGCCTATGGGGGTGTGTGAGAACATATATAGCTTACAGTTTTGTGTAGGCTATAGTGGGGTATCCCATAGGGGGTACAACCCAATTAGGGTTAGTACTTGTACCCACTTCATTCATAGTTCATTCATTCTCGTTGGTATTTCCTCAGGTAATATATCGTGGTTTACGATGGGGTAAGTCGACGGCGCAAATTATCGGGCAGGCAATGGGTTGACCAAAAGGGTTCCGGGAGTTGGCGAGGAGCAGGAGGGGGTCACGCTAGAATCGCCATTGCTGCATCTTTGACAGAAGCTCAAGCAGACAAACTCGTCAACAGCCAACGCGCTCTCTACGAGCAGGCTCTCAAGCGCCGTGACTCCTTAGCTAGCGCCGCCAAGAAGAAGTGTATTCACGCAGTGTCAGGTATGCCCGCTCCTAAGAAAGGTGAGGCTTCGCAAAGTTCGCTGGGAAGAAGGGCAAGAACTAGGGCAAAAAAGGTGGAGGTGCTACACCCCAAGCAGATGACTTACCTGCTACCGGAACTACCCAAGAGCCGCTTGAACCAGATTCGCACGGTACTCAACCAGCAGGCGCGAGTTTGCTACAGCAGCTTAGCAGCAATTCTCACCCGACCCCACCTCCGCTCGCGAGTTCGCAGCAGCAGCAGATCCTTAACTTCCTCGCAACCACTGGCGCGCTGGCTGGGGAATTTTTTATGGATGTCAACCTCTCTACCTTCGACACGGTGCTGGACGAGGAGCATGATGAGGAGTAGGAGGAGGAAGAGGACGAGGACGAGGACTTCGAGGGAGAAGGTGATGCTCCCGAAGAACCTGCCATTCAGCAGCAGCAGTTTTCTCAGCAGTAGCAGTTTGCTCAGCAGCAGCAGTTTGCTCAGCAGCAGCAGCTTGCTCAGCAACAGAAGCTTGCTCAGCAACAGCAACTTGCTCAGCAGCAGTAGCTTGCTCAGCAGCAGTAGCTTCCTCAGCAGCAACACGGTGCTCAGCAACAGCATGGTTCTCAGCAATAGCAATAGCCGATCGACGATCAAAACGCTCTCGTCCACGGAACATGCTCGGAAGGTGAGTGTATTCCATATGATGAGAGCTTGGTTTATATGACTTTAAATAGTTGTTTCATTCTTGCTGCTGTGTTATGATGTTATTGTTTCATTGGGTTGGTCGTGTTTGTCTAATATTCCCGTTTGTTCCTATTTCCAGGTATTAATTCACACTGGGTCACACAGAATCGCGGTCTGCATGCGCAAGTGGAAGATCTTTGGGCGACACTTGACATCCTCCAGAATTCGGGAGCAGAAGCACAACAGAAACTCGTCGCCGCCGAGGCTGAGTGCAAAATCCTACGTTCACGACTGGTTGAGCTTGCGGCGCAACAGGCGGCGGAGGCACCGGATCGGTCTCCAGACGACCCCGAGGTCAACCTTGCGCTTCTCACGAGGGACAACGAGGGCAACGTTATTCCCAAGGAGTTTGGGGTAAGCTACCATTATGCATGAGCCGGAACATTTTGTGTTTGACCATCCGTATGTCAATCTTTCTTTCTATGCTTATTTCTTGTGGACCAAAGCGTAAATGTATCTGCCGTTTAATATATGTCTGTTGTTTTACTTTCTCCCCGACTGTAGATAAAAGTAATTGAGACATTCATGTGGCTGATAACAGACGCGCCAGTTGAGTGCATAGAGTTTTTCCCAACTTGGGAAGTTTTTCAACCTCATCTCCTCATGAATTACCGCCTGTGTGGAATCATTCGAGACGGATATTTCCACGCGACATGTGGTCGTATCGAGTTCAAAAAGCTGGCGCTGAAGGTAATAAATGCTGTCCTGCGTGAGCAACGCTGGCACGCCGTCAACCTGCGACGTTGGCACGCCGTCGACCTTGCCTTGCTGGAGCGCGGTCGACCAAGTCGTGCTGGAACGCGGTCGACCAAGCTGCGCTGGCAGTTGGCCAACCTGAATGCTTGCTTTGATGTAGTCTTGCTATGCCAACTTCATTGTACCATTATTCTGAACTTTTCCTAGTGGAACTCTTGCCAACTTTCCCCGTGAACTAGCAAGCAGTGTGTGCACAAGGAAAACGACTAAGGACTAACGAACGCAAAGATCGCACGAGCACCCGTCCCTAGCCCGTAGTCTAGCTCCCGTTGCAGCAGCTATCTCCGCAATAAAAACAAACGCAGCAACACCCACAAGAAGATCCGTTTCTATGCATGGGGTATGGGTGGGTTGGTGAATGAGAGCAAGTGGCCGTTGCTAGCGGTGGTGAAAAAACGCGATGAAGCGAAGTGGCTGGAAGACTTCAAGCATGGTGAGCAGCTCAGTTTAAATGTTGTATATTTAAATATTGTTCAACGCCTCACTAATCTATATTTTGTTTTATGCGCAACTGTGTTAGAATATATCTGTAACTGCTTGTAGCTGTAGTTAGTGTAGTTATTATAAACTTGTTGGTGGTGCACCTTCTTTGCATGCTTTGTTTGCTATTTGTACCTCGCTCAATAATGAACTCCCCACTCTTTGCCTAAACTCTCTCGACTCCCTTTGGCCTAGGCTACTAAGCCTAGGCCCTACTCTTACTGTCTTAACATGGTATTCAGAGCAGGTACCTTCCTGCTGCCTTCCTTAATGGGCCCACCAATTTGCTTCCGCTGCCTATCATCCTGCCGCGCGCCTCGGGCGCACGGCGTATTTTTCTTGCCGTGTGCTCGGGGCGCACGGCGGTTTTCTGCCCGCCGCGCGCCCTGGGCACGTGGCATCTTCCTGCCCCGTGCGTGGCCTGCCCTCACGCCGCCTGCGCGCCTGCCTCACGTCCACGCGCGGGCCTGTTTTGCCCGCCCGTACCCTCCACTTCGTGGCGCCCTGCGAGGCGCCGCTCCTGCTCGTCGCGACGCACCTGCGGGACCCGGGCATCGCCGCTCCTGCTCGTCGCGACGCCCCTGCAGGACCCGCGCGGCGTCGCCCTGCTCGTCGCGACGCCCCTGCGGGACCCGCGGGGCGTCGCCACTGCTCGTCGCGGCGCCCCTAGGGCGTCGCCCTTGCTCGTCGCGGCGTCGTCCCTGCTCGTCGTGGCGCCCCCTGGACGCCGCCCCTGCTCGTCGCGGCGCCCCTGGGGCGTCGCCCTTGCTCGTCGTGGCGCCCCTTGGACCCTCGTCCCTGCTCGTGCGGCGCCCCTTGGGCGCCGTCCCAGCTCGTCGCGGCGCCCTCCCCCCTGGCCAGCGCCTCTGCCATGCACCAGTGCCGCCCCTGGAGCAGCTGCCCCTGGACCCTGGACCAGCCGCCGCCGCACCCAGAGCAGCCGCCCCTGGCCCCTGGAGCAGCCGCCCCCGGTGCAGCCACCCCTGGACCTCCGCAGCCGCCCTTGGCCCCTGGTGTAGCTGCCCCTGTTGCAGCCGCCCCTGGACCCAAAGCACCCGCCCCTAGACCCAAAGCACCCGCCCCTGGCCCCTGGAGCAGCTGCCCCTGGTGAAGCCGCCCCTGGACCTCAGCAGCCGCCCCTGGACCCCGCGGCTCCGACCCTGCAGCAGCCCGCAATGCCGCCCCAGGGACCCCGCGAGCCGCCCCAGCAGCAGCCCACGGCGCCGACCCTGCAGCTGCATGCGCCGCTGCTCCTGGACTCGGTACGGCTGCCTCCCTGTGCTGCCTGTTGCTGCCCGTGCCTGTGCTGCCTGTTGCTGCCCGTTGCTGCCTGTTGCTGCCCGTGCCTGTGCTGCCCGTTGCCGCCCGTTGCTGCCCGTGCCTGTGCTGCCCGTTGACGCCTGTTGCTGCCCGTGCCTGTGCTGCCCGTTGCCGCCCGTTGCTGCCCGTTGCTGCCCGTGCCTGTGTTGCCTGCTGCTGCCTGTTGCTCCCCATGCCTGTGCTGCCTGTTGCCGCCCGTTGATGCCTGTGCTTGTGCTGCCCGTTGCTGCCTGTTGCTGCCCGTGCCTGTGCTGCCCGTTGCCGCCCGTTGCTGCCCGTGCCTGTGCTGCCCGTTGCTGCCTGTTGCTGCCCGTGCCTGTGCTGCCCGTTGCCGCCCATTGCTGCCCGTGCCTGTGCTGCCCGTTGCCACCCGTTGCTGCCCGTGCCTGTACTGCCTGTTGCCGCCCGTTGCTGCCTGTGCCTGTGCTGCCCGTTGCCGCCCGTTGCTGCCCGTGCCTGTGCTGCCCGTTGCCGCCTGTTGCTGCCCGGGCCTGTGCTGCCCATGCCGCCCGTTGCTGCCCTGTGCCTGTGCTGCCCGTTGCCGCCCGTTGCTGCCCATGCCTGTGCTGCCCGTTGCCGCCCGTCGCTGCCCATGCCTGTGCTGCCCGTTGCCGCCCGTTGGTGCCCGTGCCTGTGCTGCCCGTCGCCGCCCGTTGGTGCCCGTGCCTGTGCTGCCCGTTGCCGCCTGTTGCCGCCTCTGCTCTGCTCCGTGCTGTTGCCCTGCATGCGCGGCTGCCCTGCCCTGCTCCGTGCTGTTGCCCTGCACGCGCGGCTGCCCCGCCCCGTGCCTATGCTGCCCCTGCTCTTCCCCCTCCCCCTTCTTCGTCTCCCTGCTGCGCGTGCAGCCGTGGAACGGAGGCTATGGGGGTGGCGGGTATGGGGGTGATGGGTGTGTGTGATCCCCTTCCCCTCCTCCTCCTTTCTCTCCCACTGCTGCAGCTGCCGCTGGGGGGGGGTTGGGGGTGTGAGGGTGTGGGGGAGCTGGGGGAGAGGTGCTAGGGTTGTCGAGGAGTGTGGAAGTGGGAGTTGGAGGACTGAGGAAGGTTCCATCAAGCAGCCACCTTGGAGCCAGCAGCTTCACTTGCCAACAGCTTCTCCTCATATAGTCCCTCCTCCTCACTTGCCCTCTCCTTCTGCTGCGCTTGGTGTACCCCTTCAGGGGGTGTCTCTGCATTAGCTTCTACTGCAGGCAGTTATGGGGGAGTGTTAGAATATATTTGTAACTGCCTGTAGCTGTAGTTAGTGTAGTTATTATAAACTTGTTGGTGGTGCACCTTCTTTGCATGCTTTGTTTGCTATTTGTACCTCGCTCAATAGTGAACTCCCCACTCTTTGCCTAAACTCTCTCGACTCCCTTTGGCCTAGGCTACTAAGCCTAGGCCCTACTCTTACTATCTCAACAAGCTGTACTTGGATTTTCGTGGCATGTTAACAGCGAAGGGATTCCCTTCGCCAACATGGCGTTTGAGAAGGCAACTCTGGCTGCGTTCTCTGTTGTGACATCCAATCTGGTATGGGTGAAGATTCCCATGCTGGCTTACCTTTGTGTTGTGGTAAGAGTCTTGCTTAGCAGTTTTTACCTTACCTGCAAAATTACCACTAACAGCTGACCCCCTACCGTATGCATACCTGTAGGTTGAAGCCCCCCTGCAAAGCTACAGGTCGGGGAATGGCCAGCCTTCTCTGGGTGGTGTTCAGTCGACCAACAGTAACTACGTCCGTGCCAAGACTACTATTGTTGTGGCGGCTCTGCACGAGGCGATGCTCCCACCTACTTGAAGCGTGATGAACCGAAGGGTTTTGTGCTGGGTTAAGGGAAGGTGCGGATTCTGATTGAAGTATGGGAGCGTGCATTTATGTAGTCGTTTTCTGCAGGTATGTAGGTGTGTATGTGTGTAGGTCGTTTCTGGTTCCTAATGAATGACATAATTTAAAAATTTGATCTTCTATATTAATTATTAGTGAAACCGCTTTCGGAATATATTTATTATATCTATTAGTAAATTCAACCGTGTTACCAACCGGTGGATTTGTAACCAGATCATATTTGAACCCCGTAACAAATCATGTTACCAGGTTAATAGCACAATTCAGACATATAAGTCATAAGTGAAGAAGTTCCCGAATACAAGAGAGGTAACTGAATTTGTTACGTGTAACACACTGGTAACTAATTCTCCCTTCCTTTTTCGCCTCGGCTGATGGCGCGATTGTTATGAATCAACTTGCAGAGTGCGCAGAATATCAAATAACGAGAATGAGAATTACTGAATCACTGAATATACAATGAAGTAGCGAGGCCTAAATAGGGGAAAACCTAGCTAGGCGGGGGTTTCGGGATGGGATGGCTCGGTGATGGTTGCGATTGGAGCGGAGGCCGACTCGGGAGTGGCTCGGTGCGACGAAATAGGAAGGTCAGGCTCGTCGCGTGACCCTCGGGATGGCCTCGCTAACGAGTGCCTCAGTAAGGATTTGTAAATCCTTACACTCTCCCACCTTCTAAATAAGGCAGCCCTGTACTGAAACAGGCCCCACACTAGCGAGGATTCCGTAGATCTCCTCCTTAGCTGAATCCGACGGCCGAAATGCCTTTGACTATAATTTTGAAAAGGTTGGAATGTAAGCCGTTGATGAAGTCCGATTTCGATCTGACGGTCGAAGATGAACTGCCCAAAATTAAGTAGAAGTTGGAATGTGGGCCGTAGATCGAGCAGGTGTAGATCTGACGGTCGAAGACTGACGCGAAACGAGAGGGAACCTGTTGACGCGAATTCAAACGCGATTGAGCAGGGACCGTTGATCGTGTCGGTGTGATAGCGATCGTCCGTCGTGCTGACGCAACCTGACAAACTCAGAAAGGACCAAGAAAAACGCCAAGGAAAGAACAGTGCAGCGCACTTTCTCCCCCCCTCCAAGAAAGCTGTCCACAGAATCTTCAAAGCTGCGCCGAAGTAAAACCCAACAGAACCAGGTGTTAAAGCTCGCGTCTCATATCTCTGCTATCCAACCAAGTGTTAAACGGTTGGAATTTGGTAACAGCAAAGTTTGTCGCAAAGCACACCAAAGTAAGGGGTGGTTTGGGTAAGTTGGCTGTCGCACATTTCCCGTGCACACCAAGCGTTTACAACTTCCAAAAATATGAGACTCAGAAACTCAACGTTGACAGAAGGGGGGACCGAACCTGTCCCCCTTGGCTCGTTTTCCACCCAAACCAACCCACCCTGGTTTGTTTTGGCCTCGACTGTTTTGGTAGTTCGCTGTGATTTTTTCGCCCACTCGTCAAATATTTCATTTTCGTTACCCAATCACAGTCGTGCAAACCCAACCAAGTATTAAAAAGTTGGAAATATGAGACGCGAGCTTTAAGTCCCACTGAAAACGAGCGTTGAGCGTAGGGGACAAGGTGAAAACGTGTCGGTGTGGAAACTCGATGACGACACCAGGTGTATGTGCCCCAAAATTCCTCATGGGCGAACCAGCGGAAGTAGATCAGAAACTGCGACGGAAAATCCACGTTGCTCGAAATGGACTTGTTTTGTCTTCACATCGCCGGAAAATCAGGCGATATCTTCAGCAATTGCAGTTGGCAGCACCTGACGTGGTTGATATTGAATGCAGTTGTCGTGGGTGGGTCGAAGGCGAGTTGTCGGTAGCAAAGTTGGAATGGTTTCTCCGAGAAGTTTGCCGTAATGCGCCGAGAGTTAAAGGGCAGGGATGAAATTTTACAGCTGTAGCTCCCCCCCCATCACTGTTGTTGCCACCTTCTTCAGTTCGTCGTAAGTCGTTCGTACCCCTTGAAAACTCCGTGTAGTTCCCGCGGTATTGCCCTGCGTAAATGTCGCAGCGCGTTTAACCAAACGCCGAATTCTCCTCCGAAATTGTCGCCGCTTCTTCGCCGTAAAACCTGTGAAGTCCCGCGTAAACTTCGAAAATGTCGTTTGAACACAGCCCCGAAAATCCGCAGATGCAGGTGCAGTTCTCCTCCGAAAATCTCGGTCGTTCTATAGCCGCCCACCCGGTCACCATCAGTTTCCTTCGGTTACCCGACCCCAGCGTGTGGGTTCAATCGAGAACCAGGGACTGCCCTGGGTCTTCCGAGACCGAATTTCACGGAACCTAGTGGCATCAACGCCGTTGACCCCATCGTCGAAACTGCTCCGCCGATGAAGTTTAACCGAAAACCACGCAAAACTCCCACTGGCACTTTGCAGATGTTTCACCCATCGCTCGTCGCCGGTAGGTAAATACGAAAACCTCGGCTGCTCCCACGCTCCCTTTAACTGAAGAATTTCCCACGGTGTACGTTTAAACACCAGTGGGTTCTAGGTATCCCCACCGCTGTGTTTCTTGCCAAGCGACTTAAAAGTGAACCTTCAGGCAAAGTCCCCCAACGGCTCAACCGCACTCCAAGAAGCGAAGAAACACCCTCAGCTTCAACTTTGTTTTTGTAGGAAAAGTCACCCGAAAATCATGGTTGAGGCAGCAGTCCCGAAGTTATTCTCCGCCGTGTAGCCCCGACGTTTCCGCCGTTAACCCTGGTACTCCGATGTTCACCCATCTTCATACCCGTCGAAACCACTTAGCGAATCCCAGGTATCATTGGCAATGTACCGCTCGCCGCGCCTCCATGTAACAATATCAAACCCTTTCGGGGTATACCGAATAGACTCCGAAATTCGCGGTGGATTGGTGCACGGGCTCAACCTCTCACTCAAGTGATCTGCTGGATCACCCACAACTTTCCCTCCGTCGTCATATTTATTTCGTATTCACCCCCCGACAATTCGGCTTCCCGTCGTTCACCCAGCGTCCGCTTTTGTCGGATGAGGTATCGTCGATGTTGCCCGCGCTAACTCGGCCACGTTGGAGAGGCAAAAACTATTGGAGTCGGGGCAGCCTTAGTTAAAAGGAAACTGTCGCCCAACCGTTTTGCAGCCCGCCGTGCCTATCACGCCACTAAAATTTCACAGCTTCCCGGTCTCATCTTCGCCGCTGCGCCGTCACCTCGTGTGTAGACGCCCGGGTCAGGAGAAACCTGTAAACTGCACCGATGTAAACCTCGCAGCTCCCCGACTTTTTCGCGTGCCGTTCACCCAGCCCGCTTTTGTCGGAGTAGAACAGTGCCGCGAACTCCATTTTTTTTTTTGTATTTTCTGTACAGCTGTCGAACGAGCACCAATCCAGGTGCCTTTAACCAGCACAGGGTAGGCACGTGTTCACCCCCGTTATTCGGCCAAGTAGGTTGACTGCATGAGTCAGAACCAGGACTTGGTGGGGATGGTGAGGTTCGGGCGAAGTAGGGCCGCAGATCGATTCCTCCGGCTTTTAATCTGCTCCCCACGACGTTCTTCAACCCCCGCTTAGCCTGTTGGGCCGTTTCTTCCCGAGTGTCCCGGCAGCCTTTACCGACCCCTCCGAAATTGTCGGGCGGTACCTTGGACACCGTTTAATCGTGGGATGTCAGCAGCTGTCCCCGAAAACGAATTCCCTGGTCAGGAGAAACCGCTCTCGATACTGCCGGCCAGCTTGATGTGAAATGAGTAAGCAGGAATGAGAATGACTAAGGAAAGATTGGGTACAAATACAACCCTAGAAACCCTGTACCCCATATGTGCTACCCCACTATAGCCTACAGCAACTATGTCATATAAATCTGACACACCCCCATAGGCAAAGTGGGGGAGAACAAGGGGTCACAAGACCAGTCAAGCAAAGCAAAGCAAGCTCAGGGTGGATCACAAAGTCACCACACAGTCCGAGCACAAGAGTAGGGCCAGAGGCCAGTTCACATGCAGGAGTACAGACATATATATAAAACTAGACAAACAAGAGCAGGCATATATATATGTCACAGTACAAGTGAAGTCAAGAGGAGAGCAAGTGAGGCAAGACAGGCACAAGACCCAACTGGGTGCAAAAGCGCTGATGGTCACAAGGCGTGAGTGCCTTGGTGAACACATCAGCAGTGTTGGCCTCAGAGGCCACGTACGCAAGTCGCAACTGACCACGCTGCTGCAGCTCACGAGCAAGGAAGTAGCGGAGAGCAATGTGCTTCGTTCTGTGCTCCAAGCGCTGCTCTCGACACAAGGCCAGCATAGCCTTGTTGTCTACGTACAGCACTGGAGGAGAACGAGGCGGCTCTCCAAGGTCAGTCAGCAGGTAGGTGAGCCAGCGAAGCTCCTGTGCAGCCATGGCCCCGGCGTAGATCTCAGCCTCACAACTGGAGCCGAGAACCGAAGACGAGCGAGTAGACCGCCACGAGACAGAGCCGGAACCAAGGCTGAAGGTGTAACCCTGTGACGACCGCTGCGTAGCCTGGTCGTCAGCCCAAGAAGCGTCCGCGTGGCCGGTAAGGACCACTGGACTCCGCCCTCCAAGCACTAGCCCCATGCCCGACGTACTGCACAGGTAGCGCAATAGCCTCTTCGCTGCAGCCATGTGCTCCGGTCTGTGTCTCCCAGGAGCAACATAGCGTGCAAGAATGCTCAGAGGGTATGCAAGGTCAGGTCGTGTGCAGGTCATCAGGTACATGAGGCAGCCAACAAGCTCTGCATACGGACCACTCGACTCTACGGACTCATCCGAAGGCAGAGCTGAGAGTGAGTGGCGAGTAGGCAGGGGAGTGGCCTGAGGCGAGGAGTACGTGAAGCCGAAGCGCTGAAGGACCTGCTGCACCATGTGTGACTGAGTCAAGGTAATGGTGCGGCGTGCTCTGTCCCGGGTGATCTGCAAGCCAAGGTAGCTGCGCAGTTCACCCAGGTCTGTGCACGTATGTCTCT